GACCGGACCCGTCTGGTCATGCCTGACCAGACTCGCCCAGCGTCCGGTCACTCATCCTCTTCTCTGTGCGCCGCCATATCAGCAGGACCGGATGCTGAACAGTGTTTAGTTAGAGTTCAATCACCTACGTCCGGTCTCAGATCGAGAGTAGCCCGAGCACTCCACTAATTTTTATAAATGACCGGGCGCTACTCCCCCGAGTCCGGTCACTACGTGCCCAGCGTCTGGTCACTGTTTTGCAGTGACAATCACCTCCTTTACTTCACTAACTTCTCTACCCTTGCTCAAATGTGTCAACCACCAAGTATATCACCTTGTGCACGTGTGTTAGCATATTTTCACAAACATTTTCAAGGGTGTTAGCTTTCCACTAGATCCTAAATGCATATGCAATGAGTTAGAGCATCTAGTGGCACTTTGATAACCGTATTTTGATACGAGTTTCACCCCTCTTAATAGTATGGCTATCGATCCTAAATGTGATCACACTCGCTAAGTGTCTTGATCACTAAAACGAAAAAACTCCTATCAAGTTTCACCTTTGCCTTGAGCTTTTTGTTTTTCTTTCTTCTTTTTAAAGTCCAAGCATTTTATCATCACTATGCCATCACCATCATCATGTCATAATCTTCATTTGCTTCATCACTTGGAGTAGTGCTACCTATTTCATAATTACTTTGATAAACTAGGTTAGCACTTAAGGTTTCATCAATTCACCAAAACCAAACTAGAGCTTTAATCTCCCATTTTTGGTAATTGATGACAACCCTTTCACAAAGATATGAATTGAAATTTATTTGAATCCATGTTGCTTGCCCAAGCATATTTACCATGTATAAAAGGATATGGACATGTTTCATGAATCTCATATGGTAGCAATTGCTCCCCCTACATATGTGCTAAAAGTTTGGATTGTAGCTTGCACATATGTTTAGATAGGAAATGTAGGAGTCAATGTCTACCAAATGATGCTAAGGTATAAGAGATGGACCTTTGAAGCATGATACTAATCGGAGTGCACCAATATACCATCCTTAGCACCATTAGTAACTAAACATACTCAAAAACTAGAATAGCCTATAAGATCAACGTTAGAAGTAAGGGTCTAGTTTTCATAAAATGAACATAAGTCTAGTTACTTAACCTATGCATGATCGTAACATAAGTCTACTTCCCTAAATAAATGAGATGTCTCATATTGCTTATCTTGTAACACTAGCAAGTATATTCAAAATAGTAACAATGTGTATTGCGCGACATCGGTATCTGCAACCTCCATATTCAGCTGCATCCACCCCTGTCAAGCATGCTTTCATTTGAGGAGAGGCTATCTCTAAAGATCACTTGACATACAAATGCTACGATCATAAAATTACTGTGACTAACGTGTGTTTTGCAGAGGCAATTTGAGTTAGGTCATGGTAATGACGATTGATTGGGCAATTATGGTTTTCATGCCCCTATCGATGAAAATCGTTTTGATTTTCAAAGGATGGACGATAAGGTTAAGGACAGAATAGTTCTAAGTGTCGTTTGGCGTTTGAGAGACACTTAGAGTAGTTTAGGACTTTGTTTTTTCTTTGGCCATACTATTAAGGGGGTATGAACTAGTAGCTTGACCTAGATGAGTCTAATGATTTAGGAGTGGCGCACACTTGTCAAACTTAGCACTAGGTAACTGAGGGATAGCCCAAAGATCGATTGGAGTCATTTTCATTCATGAAGTTTTTCGAAATAGAAGTGAATGGAGTATCTTTTTGTTGACCTGGCTCACAGAGTCCGGTCAGTACACAGAGTGCGCAGGATCATGACCGGACGCTGGCTCAGGATCATGACCGTACGCGCAGATGATGGCAACTGTAGCAGCAAGGTGTAGGGCAGACAACTGACCGGATGCAGGGAAGGAAAGTGACCGGACTCACGCGTTGCCACGTCCGGTCGACATTAGAGAGCATCCATAGAGGAAATTTCAGGACCTAACGCTTCAGGTCGAGGAGGATCGGACGCTGCAGCGAGTCCAATCACTCCAACGATCTTCTCTAACATTTCTGCATACCGTAGCCGTGGAGAACTGACCGGACACGTCCGGTCACAACGACTGGCGCGTCCGGTCACTTTGAAAAATGCTGAGTTGGAGCTCAACGGTTATGTTTTAACGTGGAGGATATAAATACTCCTTCTACTCGTCTAAATTAGCTCTCTTGCTCATTTGTTCAGCTGAGAAAACACTTTAGAGTGCAAGGGAGAGCAAGAGTCTAGTGGGGTGATTGAGATTTGAGAATCCAAGATTAAGGACCTCATTAGTACATAGGAAGTATCAAGTGTGCATCCACCTTTCTCATTAGGCTTGTCTCGATCAAGTGAGAGTTTGTGCTTGTTACTCTTGGTGATCGCCATCATCTAGATGACTCGGTAGTGAGTGGAAGCTTGGTGATCATCCGGCGGACCTTGTGGATGACCCAGGTCATCTTGTGAGTGGTTGTGGGCGATTCAACTCGACGGAGTGTCGAAGAATCAGCCCGTAGAGAGCACTTGATCCTTGCGCGGATCAAGGACGCGGGTGCTCCAACGAGGACCAGTAAGGAGTGGTGACTCTCTGATATCTCGAAAAAACATCGCCGCGTTCTCTCTCTCTTTACTTTGAGCATTTACATTTGAGCAATTCAATTTATGTATTGACATTCCTAGAATTATCATGCTAGAGTAGGATTGAAACCTAGGGTGCAGAACTTTTGTGCGGTAGAACAATAGAAACATTTGTAGGCACAAGGGGGTGAAATGGGCTAAATCTAGACCTTAACTATTGCAAAAAAATTTAAAATTAGCCTAATTCACCTATCTCTTGAGCATATTGATCCTTTCCGTTTGGACTCCAAACAACGGCAGGGTGACAACTATAGTCTATCCACGGCTTAAAAACCAAAGAACCTCTCCTTGCACCGGTTCTTACCAGGCTACCATGCGCGAACAGAGGGAATGCAGCGAAACAAAAAGAACATGGCCAAGTCAGGGTAGCAAGTGAAAACCCAGATCGTCCAACAAGAAAACACAGCTTAGTATCACAGCTATATGACTGCAGACTGAACCACACCTGCAGAAAGTTATGGCTTGTGCAAAGCAAACACCATCTAACCGAATTTGTAGGTTCAAATAGATAGATAGATATATATTTTGTTTTCACAACCAAATAATGCAGCGCTGCTAGAGAACTCATAAAAGGAACAACACAATGGTGTCGAGAAATTTAAACACGATTACTAAACACCAAGAATCTACGGAGATCACGAGAGCCAAACAACACAATGGTGTCCAGATGTTCAATTTAAAGGTGATGGTTGTTCTTTAAATACATTCTCGCTTCCTAATTCTGAAGGAGACCCAACAAGGATGCCAAACAACATCGCGATAGTCTTCCCTTGCCTTCACTGCTTTGGAGAGATAGCATGTTGATTCATTGAGTCTTTGCCTCAAAGGTGATGGTTGTTCTTTGAAATCTAGGCCCATAAGGTCGACTTCCTTACGATCGTGTCTGCCAATGTAGGAGTCGCGTAAAAGATCAACAAGGATAAAAGCTATGAGAAAGATTGGGGTTGTGTGGAGCAAAAAGAGAGATTATATTTACAAAGGACATTTGACTAATTCAAATTGTGATTAGGATGTATAAGTTCTAAGATCATGCATATAGTATGGTATAAGAACAACTTGTGTAGCACCTATCGAGTCCCGACTTTAAAGGTAGCCTGCGCTCGCTATATATGTGTCTCACCTTTACGATTGCAAGAAGAGTAGACTATGAAGCTAAATCATGAGATTATTCTAATGCCTATATGGTCCAAGGACTCCATGCTAAGGCATGAAAAATCAGTGATTATCAACCACATACCACCCATGGTAATCGAAGGAAGTACTCCGTATCTTGGAAGAATCCAGTTGCTCTCACGGCATATGTCATCCAGTTCTCGCAATGACTCTTTGTCGTGCCTCATGATCATGATAATAATGACCTCGATGATGATGTTTCTTGCACGGCATTTGTTGCGTGAGAAGTATGGCTTCTTTTCGGTTTCTTCCCTTTATGTTCATGGTTTGGCATCCTTCTCTATAGCTAAAGATTGGCAAACTTCCATCATCTTCCCACTATTCTCATATGTTCTTTAGGATTGATGTTACTTTAGGTGTCATCTCCGTTTACGCACATGGTTTGAAAATGAACATTCATGAAGGTAAAAGATTGAGGATGATTGCAACAATCACACAGTTGAAAAGATATGTTGATATATATAGGTCTACAATTATTCTACGAGAATTGAAGTTATCTTAAGATTTGGGAGCAATAATGCTCATGCACTTGTAATCAATAATTGTGTGGATGGGATGGTGACACCCAACTCCAAGACCAAGGTCCACATATACAAATCGAAGCCTAAGAGTTTTTTTTGTGGAATGAAACACAAGTTGTTTGCCACAAGATCATTTGATTTCACACTGTTATTGTCCATTTTATCTAGATTTAGTTGTGAAAAGTAAAAATACTGTCAAGTTTGTTTGAATGTCCAACTTCGATCTCATGAAACGTAGATAGGCTAAGATGAGTACGTGAAATGAATAATATGTAACATACTATATCATCTCGCATCCTCTGAAGTAATTGCAGTGTCGCATACTTCTGAACATTCATGTTACCTGTGATGCCACCTGAAATGCAGTTTGATGTATACAGATTAAGATTTGGGAGCATCAATATGGAAGTAATCAATAATAGGAAAAAGAAATTTCTTTTTTCTTAGATAGGATTGTCCTTACCAGACTTTTCAGTGACTTTCTCCTTTTGGCTTTTCAAGGCATGTAGTTAATTACAGGATCAACATCTGGTGTCTGAAAGATAATTAATTCTTTAAGTTGAAGTTTAACACATAAACATGCATATATTAATTCTTATTGAACTAGAAACATCACGCCAGATTTCAATGCATCTTTTTGTCAAGCTCATACAGAGTTCTTTACCGGAATGATATCTTGGGGACATTTCTACTTTTAGAGTTCTTCTCTGTTCTGTTCTTGTCCATTTGGACACCTGAAATTAAGTGACTTTATCATAATGATGAGGAGAAACAACAATGGATCGTAAAATCGAAGTAGTGAAGTACTATAAGATGGATAGACTCACTGGCTTGTAAGCCTTTTGTGGGGCTCTGACCATCCCCGTGCTCTGCTGCGTAGGTAGCAACTTTAGTCTTGAAGGCTTCAGATTTTCTTTTGCAGTTCGTGTTGCTGTCTTTTCTGTTTGTGCTGGTGCTGCAGTTGTTGGCGCCACTATCACCAACTGCTTTTACTACCTGCTTATTTTTCTTTGGAGTTGAAACGTCCGTGGTTAATTTTTTCCTTTTAAATTGTTATTACTATTAGCTTCTTGTTCCTTCGAACTTTCATCTATTTCAGAGAGGGATGAAGATTTCCCATTTTGAAATACCAGCTCCTTTTGGCGCGCTCAGAAGAACCCAAAGGCCAGTCCCTGCAACATGTCAAGAGTAATCTTTAGTCATTAACCTAAAAGAGTTGTACGAAGACACATTTTGATATCAATGGTTTCATGCATAATCAGCTGAAATAAATCTTTATGTATACCTGTCCAGGACGTCTAACAAGACCTCCTTATATGGCAGTAAATAATAGCATTCAACAACAGATGTCGTTGTTGGGTACGGACCACTTTCAAATATAGGACCACTCATCCTGTTTGAGAAAAGGAAGAAATTCAATAGGGACAACTTTTATAAATTACTACGATTGAAAAATGGAGTATTAACACGTACTAAGCAAAGCAACTCATTTAGGAGGGACAATTAGCAAGCATTATATAATATGCACATGAAACAGAGTATCTTGAAAAGGGTGGAAAGTGCTTTAGCAAAGTAATCATTGCTGACATTTGTTATGGTGGTTGTTATGGTTGCGAGGGAGAGAGGGGGCCAGCCGGGGGCCTTCCCCATGGCCGAGCAAGAAGAAGTTTTTTTTTTACTTCAAATAGTTGCTTGATTAGATTGATACATCTCCTCTCCTTATATAGAGAGGCTTACTTGACCCCTAAGCAAGCGATCCTTATCGATAGGGGGCCCATGACATAGCCCAATCACCCCTTAATTCTCTCCCAATCACTCTTGCTAAGCTTCTATATTAGCACCTGCTAATGGTGCGCCCAGGTTTCCCCTCAATTAGGTGCCGATCTAGCCACTTTCCTAATTTGCTGCCTCTAACAACATTAATCTAAGATATGGTATGCAGTATATACTTTACTTATTTGACTACACCTGCTAATGGTGCGCCCAGGATTCCCCTCAATTAGGTGCCGATCTAGCCACTTTCCTAATTTGCTGCCTCTAACAACATTAATCTAAGATATGGTATGCAGTATATAGTTTACTTATTTGACTAGGTCTACAACGTGCAATGGTACAAATTAGGCATAGTGGAAAAACAAACCTTTCGATCAGGGCATCTAAAGGCATTTCCTTAAGCTTGCTATCGACAGTCTGATCATAGTGCAGATGGAACAATATGGTAGATGTCCCTTTCTTACTTAGTGAGTACACCCGATGTTCTTCGATAAAACGTACATTTGTACGCTTCATACCTATTAAAACAAAAGTGTGTGAGACATACCTATTAAGACATACAAAAGATAGGTGCACAAGCATAGAATTTGCAAAATCAATAAAATCAAGCACACAATTCCGCTTCCGAAGCAACTTGTGTATCGAGCACACAACCAAGTGTAATTTCGAAAGGATCTGTCTATACAACACTCGGGTGTTTTACAAACCCCGAGCACTCGATTTTTTTTCTTCACACTTCCTTCCTCCTAATGACGCGCCACTACCGCCCACCGCCTATCGCCCCGCCGCGGCACGGTAGGGTCTCGCCGGAGCTCTGCGGCCGCGGCCATGGAGCTCCGGCGAGACCCTACCGCGCCCACGGTGACCTCCATCTTCCCCTCTCCCGTCGCCGTCACGGCCATGGTCGCCCCCGCCCCGACCTGGTCCGGCCGCCTACTCCGCCGCTTGCTCCGGCAGCGTCACCGCCGCCTCCGCCTCGCCGCTGTCTCTCCCGTCCCCATCGCCTGACTGCCTCCCCATGAATTCTTCTAAGGCCGCCGGAGATGGAGATAAAGAGAGAGAGGAAGAGAAGAGGGGAAAATCGAGTGTTCCAACACTCGAGTGTTGTATAGTATTTCTCTTTCGAAAACAACATTGATTGCCATTAGCTCATGTACATAATCTCAGTTACTCTAGGACGCGATTGGTTGGCTACCCGGCCGATCTAGGCTTGCTCTTGGCATCCAGGCCCTCAGCAGCCATGCTGGATGCGTGCAGGAGGGTTATGTTTGGTTGCTCGCGCGGAAACAACCTTTTTTCCACACGAGGCAACCCTATTTCTATTATAGCATAACATAAATACATTGCGCGGGAACAACCTGCCCAGCAGAGTTCCTGTTTGGTTTGATGAATGTATAAACAAATACATGGCAAATACAGCCAGCCTTTAAGGAAACGCTCTCCCGCGTGCTCACCTGTGTGTGCGGCCATCAAAACGCACGGGACGAGCCAGGCCAGGGGGCGGCTTTTGCACGGAGCAAGCCTGGCCGATACCCTAAACTAGGAAACCACCAATTATGTGTATATTGCATCTGGCGAGCCTGGCTGAGCCTCGTACAGCAACCAATAACGCCCCTGATGTGCCTGTGGATGCAAGACCATATAAAATCATGTTTCAATAGCAAACAACTTGTATAGAATCAAATTAAATGAGAGAAGTCAAACCACACCAGCTAGCCTAACTCCACAAAGTGACCATATTTGTGCCCCTGTGCTTGTGGGTGAACTACAATTCCACTACAAATTTAAGGCATGGACTTGTAGTCACTAGCCACAATGCTGCATCCAATTGCTCAATTATTAAAAAAGAATAAGGGTGCACACAATGCACTGTAAGTTCAAGAACAAAAACCGTAGAAGTGTATAGCACCAACCTGTTTTGAGCTCCACCTCTGAATATGCATTCTGCTGAAGCACGTATGGTTCAGAAGGAAGTGCCATGGATTTATTACTCGACCCCTGCACTGACATGCCACTGCTGAGCAAACCACCTAATGCTGCCTTGATATCTTTCTCAAACAACGCCGTCTTGATATCTTTCTCAAACATCGACCAGACGCCCTTAGTTTCGGATCCGTGCTCGAGCAAGCACACTTTCTTTGTCCGATTGAGAAGCAGAACTGCGACCTTGGAGATCGGCCACATGATCATCTCGGGGGAGTCCTTCGTGGGGTCAAGCGCCTCGGCAGTGTCACAGGCGTCGATGATTGCCTTGTCAGTAACCGAGAGCCCGGCCCCCACTCCGTTGCCAAGGCGGTTGTGCGCCTGGTTCAGGTACATGAGCAGATTTTTGTTGCTAACGTTGAGCGAGGCGCACAGGCAGAACCGATCGGGGTTGGCAAACTCGAGCTGCGGGAACTGTTTCCTATAGTAGTAGTTGTACAGGAGAACTGCCGCGCGGACCTGCGCAACACAAAACCACATCCATGGCGGCGTAGTGAGGTAAGTCGCCGACGAGTTTTTGTTAAAACAAAAGAGAATCCCAAAAGCCCCAAGCATGAAACAAATAAGCCGCAATAAGCTCCATCATGCCGCCGCAAGGAAATCCGCAGCTCGATCGGCAATTGGAAAAAAGAGAGTGTGTGATGAACACTAAGCAGAACAATGTTATGGATCAGCCTATAGAAGCCGTGTGACCCAAATCCACCCCAAAACGAGTCGCACGGGGAGGAGGCGCAACCCCCATGCTCCGTTCCTCAACCCCGATCGACCCTCTAGGAAACCCCACCGCAAGCGGGTCGCAACTGACGAAAAGGAGCAATGGGTACTCTACTCCTAGAATGTTCATTTATTTTTACAGTAAACAGGATCTAATATTTATAACTAAAATCTAAATATGAATCATACTCAAATTTGATCCATTATAATTTTTAGAATAAAAGAAAATTTACTAACTTAATAATAACTTGAATCGCAATTTTCCTTATTCATAGAATCGATACATCTTCTTGGCACCACTCAAGTATAGCCTATTGACGGCGTCTGCTGACGTCATCCATAAAATAACCAATTCTGACATTACATCTAAATCAGCTAATACCGATTCTCATCTAATCGATTCCTTGATGATACAATCCTAGAAGCTTCGAGTTCCCGCGTTTTTTTCCCAAATTTTGGTGTAAACAGGCGTGCTCGATGAAACTGCCGATGTAGCTCACTTTCGAGGTGCTTAGTGTCTAGTGGAAGACGAGCACCTCCAAAAACATGTTATTTCGGACGGTTCTGCCACACTCCTCTAGTGGCAGCGAGCTCTCTCCTCCCCTTCCCCAGCTTCGGACATCTCCTTAAGGCAACATGCTTCAGTCCTGTAGCACCAAACGACTATAGTGGACGAGCTCCCTAGGGCGTTGCCCTTGAGCCCCTCTTCCCGAGGCTCTCTTTCATTTGTTCCTAAAGCTGTTACCCAGAAGCTCTCCTCTGTCTTCATCATCGAGATCCAGCCGATTCGGCCATGGAAGCCAATGTGTATGAGTTGGAGAAGCCAATGTGTCAACTAGGTAGCTTTTTCTGGCTTGAGCTTTTCCAATAAACAAATGTTTATTGTGGAAAACTTATAAAAAATTGTCTTCCCTTGAGAATTTAATAAGCTGTTTTAAACAAGGCCGCCGGTTAGCTTGAAACTGAAACTGAGTGAGTAAATAAAGGGACCGAAAAGAAAATTGGTGCCTCGGCACCAAAATAGCAAGGCATGTGGGCTCATCCACGTGTCATGCCGTATCCACCGTTATCTGGATCTGACGGCTGTCCCACACCACCTTTGCTCCGCCCGTTCACAATCACATTACATGGAGGAGGCTTTGGCGCGTTCAGCCATCCACGCCCACCAGTCGACCACCATGGCTGACATTTGCTTTGCCCCAAACTCTCCTCATGATCTCATCTCTCTCTGTCTACCCTCTGCCCCTCTGCTATATACATAACCAATTGATTATACGACTAATCCACTCTATAACATAAACTAATCCCACGATAATCACGTCCTGGCCGACGACATCACCCACATCTCCCGTCATCTATTGGAACTCGGCTCATCTCCTCCGTGTCTCATCCCACCTCATCTCCGTCTCCATCTCCATCTCCATCTCCTCCTTCTCCTTCTCCTTCTCCTTCTCCTTCTCCATCTATCGGGGACCAATACTACAGCTCCAACTAACCCCTGAGGGTTGGCTCCACCTTGCTCGACCCCTGAGGGTGGCTCCGCCTCGCTTGACACCGAGGCCACGGGCTCCGCCTCGCCCGACCCCTGAGGAGTGCCTCCACCTCGTCCGACACCGAGGCCGCGGGCTCCGCCTCGCCTGACACCTAAGGGCTAGCTCTGCCTCGCCCAACACCGAGGCCACGGGCTCCACCTTGCCTGACCCCTAAGGGCTGGCTCCGCCTCACCCGACACCAAGGCCGCGGGCTCCACCTCGCCCGACATCGAGGCCGCAGGCTCCGCCTCACCCGACCCTTGGGGCTGGCTCTGCCTCGCCCGACACCAAGGCTGCGGGCTCTACCTCGCCCGACCGTTGAGGGCTGTCTCTGCCTCCCCAACACCAAGGTCGTGGGCTCCGCCTCGCCTAACACCTGAGGGCTGGCTCCACCTCGTCCGACACCAAGGCCGCGGGCTCCGCCTCGCCCGACCCTAGAGGGCTGGCTCCGACTCGCCCGACACTGAGGCCGCAGGCTCCGCCTCGCCCGACGGAGTCCCACACCGCCGCCAACCACTCTAGGTCCAAGCGTATGTGCCTAGGTCAAAGCTCTGATGCCAGGGAAGAGACTAGCACGCCTCGATGTAGCCCATGACCCACGACAGGCCATACCTAGGGGTTCATGTCAGGAACAACGTCGGGCGTACCGGTGCTGTTCTGCTTAACTCCCGTACGAACACTGACAGGCGCGTCAGTTCGCCACGTTGTCTGCCAGGATAGAGTGGAGAGCCATGATCGGTAGACGACGCCTGCACATGGTGCCAGTGATGGATAGGGCCATGACGAGAAGTTGTCCCTATTGATGTATATAGGGTCGGCGGGACCCGCATAGAGGAGAAGAAGGACACAGCGATCCTAAAGGACTTCTTCTTCTCGTTCTCTTATCTTCCTTCACGGTAACCCGTGCTTTCCCTTGGCCTATAAAAGGGAAAGCAGGGTGTCCCACAAGGCACATCGGAACTCATTGCAACACACCACAGGACACTCGAATCGATCGGATCGAAACACATCACACCGATTCGGACTCGAACCCCGAACCGATAAGAACACAAAGCACACGGCCGAGGCCTCGGCACCCTTTCACTCCTTTCACCAGAGACTTGGGACCTATCCCTCTCTCGACCGTTTGTAACCCCTACTACAAAATTTTAGTGCTAGTAACACGAGCAGCAGCAACGAACTGGACATAGGGACATTCTGCCCGAACCAGTATAAACCCCGTGTCCTCTTAGCACACCATCCGGGCTAGACGCGCAATATTAGAAATTACTAGCCGGTGGCAACTCGAAACACTGACAGTTGGCGGGCCAGGTAGGGGCCTTTTGTGCATCTCGACATCCACACCATGCCTCGGATGGCTAGTCACAACCTCAGCTAGGTCCAGGGCGCGCACGTGCGCTTCGGGAACCTGGACTTCATCGTTATGATGGAGGGAGAGTTGGCAATGGCTCCCTCCGTCGTCTGACCTCTTCACTCCAATGGCCTCGGCACGACCGCCGATGCACTTGAGGAGCTGCAGCTGCACGCACCGGAGGCCCACGCTCTCGAAAGCGACTAGCTCCTCGACTTCGACTATGGGAGGTTAGAGCACCAGCTCGGCGCCTTCCTAGGACCCCGACCATCTCGGGAGTACCTGCGCCACCTCACCTTCTCATTCACCAATGTCATGGCGCTGCTTGCTGGAGGGGAGCCACTCTCTCTAGAATACCTCATCCGGAGCGCCCCAACAGCGCTCCCGTTCGGTCTCTACAACGTCGTAGAGACCGATGACCACCCTATGGCGCAACGCACGCCTCCATCCCTCGCAAACGATGAGTTCGTGGGGATGACTGAATATGTTGTGGAGTCTTTCCATGACCTCCTCGCAGAAGAAACGGAGTTGCACTCCACCTCTGACTCCAGCAGGGGGAGCCATCACCCTCTCGTGAATATTTTATGGCAGGTACCCCCGAGGGACACGTCGAAAGCATCCACGAGGAGGAGGCTACCCCGACAAATGACCTCGATGATGAGGTCAAGGGGGATACAGGGGTTCCACCCCGCTTGCGGATGGAGCAGCTGAAGGCCCAGCACCAAGAGCTCGAGGAAGCACGACTCCAGCTCGAGCAGGAACGCGCGGAGCTCGATCAAGAGATAGAGCGCCACGGACACGGTAGGCGCGCACGTGCCATGGCCCGCGATGGAAACTGGAGGATCATCAAGGATGATGCATCCCTCCCACACTTTGCCTGGGCAAGCCAGAACATCGCAACTATGGTGGCCTTGCTCTGTGGGCTTCCGGGGCCCACGATGCCCGAGGATCATCGGGTCCATCATGAGATTCACATGCTACTCGAGTGTGTGGCGACGCAGCAAGTGAAAGCTCATTGTCCCGATGATGTGAGCTCGACACCATCCAGCGCACGCCCTTGGAGCGACCCAACAGGGACGCATTAGTCCACCAGTCACCGCAAGGTGGCAGGCTGCGCACCGCGGTCCCGGTGCATGAGCGTCTCGGCTGCAATCGTGACGCACGCGACACCCTCGACGCCCACATGCGTACCCGTGGCAATGTAGGGGAGGGGGCTAGCTGTGGCTACCACCCGTGTCATGGCGAACGCTACGACAGTGGTGAGGACCGAAGTCCGAGCCCCGGCCTACCGGGACCTCAGGCCTTCGGCCAACACATCCTCAACGCCATCGTCCTTCCACGGTACCAACCACCAACCAACATCCCAAAATACTTTGAGGAAACGAACCCTGGACTATTGCTCGAGGATTATCGGCTTGCTTGTCAAGCCGGTGGAGTGGATAATGATGACTTCATTATCCACAACCTTCCATTGTTCCTAGCCGATTTGGCATGAACATGGTTGGAACACCTTCCGCCCAACAGAATCCAAAGTTGGGCAGACCTAAAAGAGATATTCGTAGGGAACTTCTAGGGCACGTACAAGCGTCCTGGGAACCCATGGGATCTCAAAAACCACCGACAGAAGGCCGGAGAAACCCTTCATGGGTATATCCAGCGCTTCTCCCGATAGTGCAACGAGCTGCCTAACGTCACCGACGCTGACATTATATGAGCCTTCCTGACTGAAAGAGTCAATCAAGTGCTTGAAGATATGTTAAGGTGTTGTGTCCTTAATTATTCCAACAAGTGGGACGAATGCTTACCTTTGGCCGAGTTCTCATATAACAATAGTTATCAGGAAAGCATTAGAATGGCTCCATTTAAAGCACTCTATGGCCGTA